TTCACTTTCACTTTCATTTTCTGCCTCAGACTGGAGGCTCCTTTGGGTATGAGGTGACATGTCCCTGGCAGAACAGCTTCCTAAGACATCTTTCAACGCAGGCCTTCCCAGGCCTGCAACCCAGCAAGGCAGGGCAATGTTCTGTCTCCCTTCACATGCGTGCCAGGCTCACTAGCAAGTTGCTGACCAGCTGGGGGCAGTTCTCATGTAGCCCTGCCTGCCTCTTCCCTCCTGGCCTTCTGGAAATTTCACCCACCAGTGTCCATACTTCCTGTAGAGATAAGCCAGTTCTGAGTTTGGCCACACCTGACTAAACCAGGGTGGGTGGCGGGAGGAGGGAGGCAGTGAACAGCTTCGTATTAACCTTGCAGCTTAAGACAACAAGTCTGAGTGAGCATTCATGAACCGTGAAGTTTCCACCCATAAATCCATGGGTGCTTCCAGCACCTGTCTTTCTGCCTGCTTCCATCCCCAGCCACCTGTCAGCTAGAGGCTCAGTGTTGACAACAGCTAACAGAGACCCAGTCACAGGGATGAGGCCAGGCCCAGGACTGCAGTTCCCAGAACGCGTGTGAAAGTGTGACAGGAAGCAGGCTACCCGTCAGGACACAAAGGCCGATACTCAGATGTGGAGCAAGGCGGGACCCTTCTCTGGTTGTAGGGGCCGCAGCTGGACTCAGCTTTGAGGTGTTTGGCCAGGCTTAACACCATGTTATGAGCCAGGACCTTTTTATATGGAAGTGACAGAAACCGAACTCTGACCACCTAAGACAACTCTACTAGTTTCCCGAAGCTGCTATAACAAATTACCTAATCTTGGTGGCTTTAAATGACAGAAATTTATTCTCACAATTCTGAAGGTCAAAAGTCCAAAATCATGCTGTGAGTGGAGCTGCACTGCTCCCAGCTCCAAAGCAGAAGCTCTAGAGGAGAATCCGCTCCTGGCCTCCTCTAGGTGGCTGCCCACATTCCTTGGCTTGTTACCACCTCACTCTTGTCTTTGCCTGTGTCTTCACAGCACCCTCTCTTCTGTGTGTATATCTAACCTCCTTGTGCCTTTCTTTAACAAAGGTGCACATGACTGCATTTATGGCTCCCTCTGATAATCCAGGATAAGTGCCTCCTCTCAGTTAAGTGCCTTAACTCAATCACATCTTTTGTTACAGAAGGTAATATTCACTCTTTTTGCCTACATATAAGGTAACGTTCACAGGTCCCAAAGATTAGGATGAGGACATATTTTTGGAACCACCATTCAGCCCATTACAACAACAAAACCCTAGGAAAGTCAACAGCCCCAGAAGTGGCAAGATGATAGCCTCTGCAAGTCACAGGGCCTAGTCCCTCCTTTTGGCTTCTGTCTCCAGGGTGGCTAGTTCCATGCCCCAGACAGCCTCAGCCTACCCCCAGGAACATTCACTCTGGGGAAAAAAAAAAATAGAGAGCCAGGCATGGGAGCCCTATGAACTTTCATTCTCTCTTTGCACCCAGTAAGGAAGCCTACTTTACCTTGCACATTGTCTGATGTTGAAGAGGCTCCATTTAATTAAACCCCATGCCTTGGTTGGAAAGAAGTACTGAAGGAAGACAGCCAGCTGCCATGGAACAATTTTGCTATTTTCCACTAAGTTCCATTCATTTTATCTTCCCAATCTTTTGAAAGACATATGAATCTTTTGAAAGGTATATGCCTATATGTGGGTGCTAAGTCGCTTCAGTTGTGTCCAACTCTTTGCAACCCTATGGACTGTAGCCCAGTAGGCTCCTCTGTCTATGGGATTCTCCATGCAAGAATACTGGAGTGGGTTGCCATGCCCTCCTCCAGGGGATCTTCCCAACCCAGGGATCAAACCTATGTCTCTTATTTCCTCCTGCATTTGCAGGCGGGTTCTTTACTGCTAGCACCTCCCGGGGAAGCCCATATGCCTATGTGTATGTACGTGCTCAGTCGCTCAGTCGTGTCTGACTCCTTGCGACCCCATGGACTGTAGCCTGCCAGGCTCCTCTCTCCATCGGGATTCCCCAGGCAAGAATACTGGAGTGGGTTGCCATACCCATCTCCAGGGGATCTTCCCAAACCACGGATTGAACCCAGGTCTCCCACATTGCAGGTGGATTCTTTACCATCTTAGCCACCAGGGAAGCCCAAGGATACTGGAGAAGGTAGCCTAGCCCTTCTTCAGGGGGTCCCATATGCCCATATTTCACTCTAATTATCTTAGTAAAAAATGGAAGTAGTAGAGTTTAGGGCTTCCCTGGCGGCTCAGACAATAAAGAATCTGCCTGCAATGCAGGAGACCCAGCTTCAGTCCCTGGGTCGGGAAGATCCCCTGGAGAAGGGAATGGCTACCTACTCCAGCATTCTTGCCTGAAGAATTCCATGGACAGAGGAGCCTGGTGGGCTACAGTTCCTGGGGTCACAAAGAGATATGACTGAGTGACTAACATTTTCAGTAGAGTTTAACACACTCTCACATAAAGTAAATCACTTACTGGGTATTTAATCTGCACTTGGGCTACCATATAATGGTGGTAAACAGGGCAAGGCAATGCTTTCACTTGCCTAGCCATGCCTGCTCCAGATGTCCATTCCCACACAGGTATAGGTAGCTGAGAACATTCCTTCTTTATGAAGTGGTGACAGGGTAGACTCTGAGCTTTGCTCCGTCCAACATCCCTCCTTTCTCCCACTGAAAAATGTCCTACCCCTTCTTGGTGGGTGATCTTGGTGGACTGATGTCACTCTCTAGGCCACAAATACTGGGAAAGAGAAGTGCCTTTCTCTGCTGAGAGTGCTGAAGGAGAGACCACAGATCCGGGGCTGCTGATAGCATCCTGTGGTGAGAGGCTGTCTGGCTTCAGAGTGGAGCAGAGATCAGCAGGGGCAACATCATCTGAACCCCTGGAGACAGCTGTGCCTGAAGCCCAAGCCAGTCTGAGCTGTGTTTGGTTCCAGTCGGGGAGTACTGGCTGAAGGCGGGAGGCTGTTTGATAGCTGCCCCATGTAGTGTCTGTGGGTTTGGTATGAGTTGCTAACTACACAGTCTCAGAGCCAGTGGCTCTTTTTCTGGTCAGGACAGCCCCAGGCCTGGGCTTCAGTGTGGTCTGTACCTAACCCCCATGTCTTTGGTCAGGTTCTCCAGAAATGGAGCCCAAGGCAGGGATTCTCAGACCATGATTTATTGGAGGGAGTGCCCTCAGGGGAACCTCTACATGAGGGAGCAGGACTGGGCAGGGGAAGGAGCTAAACTAGGATGGGATCCAGCTGGGATCAGCTGGGATCCAGCCTCAGCCTAAAATCCCAGGGAACTCTGAAGCATGACCGGCACATACAGCTGTCCCCCAAGGCATGCAGGCCAGGCCTCTGAATTCCTGCCTCAGTCATTGGCCACTGTCCACCTCTGTGAACAGAGTGTAACCTTCCAGGTATCTCTTCTAGAGAAGTGGGCAGCTGTGAGCTGTGTTAGCAGCCAACATCCCAGGCAGCTTGGGGATGGGTTGCACTATCCCAGAGAGGGCTGAGCAAGGCACCGAAAACTTCCACTCCAAACTATCTTCTGGCCCCTGCCAAATTCCTACCAGGTTTGAGATGGTGCAGCCCAGAGACACAGAAAATAATCAGGAGTCCCCAGATTTTTGAGGAAAGCTTAGTACCTTGCTCCCATAGTTCTGCCCTGTCCTCCCAAAACTCCTCCACAGAACTATAGATGTGGAGAACTACAGAACACAATGCCCTTAGCATCCCCTGGGTCCACATTAGCCACACACTGTGTATTAAACCCTTGTGATAAATTTCCCTCTGCTGCAGGGAAGAATTTGACTCTCCACATGGACAGAAACCAGTTACACAGGAAAAAAACAAAACACAACACCATTACTCCTTCTTTCCAGTGTCTGTCAGCGTAGGGTTCTGAGTGCACTGAGGTGGAGGGCTCCTCTAAGTGAGCACAGCGGGCGATCCCGGGGCTCCTAGGCACCCCATAGGTGGAAGTGTGTCAATCAGGGTCTATATTTAGCTGCAACTAACAGACGCCTGGGGATAAGCGGTTTAAACAAATGAGACATCATTTTTTTCACAGAGTACAGCCCAGAGGAAGGCGGACAGACTGGTGTGCAACACTGTCAGGTGGTTCCTCTTCCAAGATGGTGCCCATGTTCCCAGGCATCGCCTCCAAGTTCTGGGCAAGAAGAGGGAAGAGCTCAGGCCAGAGGCTGAAGGGCCCCAGTCAGGAGGTCTGTTCCTTTTTAAAGAGCTCTCCTGGAAGCCTTATCTGTGAATTTCACTCACTGGCTAGAACTGTGTCACCGACCACCCCCTAACTGCAAGGAAAATGCAGCTTCTTTATCTGATGACTAGCAGAGAATGAAAGAATAAACAAGTAACCAAAACCCCTGGCACCGGACCTGATATTTGATTCAGTTCAGCATCCACAGGTCCTGAGAAGATGATGCCTGGAGAGGTTCTGAGGCCATCCAAGGTCACAGAGGCCAGCAGAGGCTCACCCTGCAGCTGACCTTGGTCTCCCGGCTCCCAGAACATAGATCACACGACAACAGGGCCAGTCGCAATGCACATGGATTTATTGAGTTATGGATGTCAGTCCTAGTGCTAGGCTGAACCACAGGGAAGATGGCTATATGGCCCGTGCAATGCAGGGAACTGGATTCTCACTCAAGGTGGTGTCCAACAAGCAGCACATCAAGGACAGGAAGCAATCTGCCAATGTTACTTATGGGGTGCAAGTGTTTATCATGATGGGTGGTGCCTAACTAGGAGGATGCCATAAAATGCTGCAGTACCAGAGGGAATTTTTACAAGTCTGTTCAGATGTATGCCTTAGGCATGATAAAAAGTGTCCAGATCTGCAAAGAGCAGTAGAGCAAGAGCAGTAGGCCAGCTTAGCAGACAAGCCAGTCCCTTTTCAGTGGGGCAGCAGGCCACTAATGAGGCCCAATATCCCAGGCAGGGTGGGACAGTTGTCCAAGGTCTGCTGTCCAAGTCAGAACAGGGACTGGAGAGCCAGAACAAGAAGCATGGAGAGCAGGGAGCTCCCCTCCAGGGGTGCATCTGCAGTAGACACCTTGGCAGGTGGGAGCAGAGTGTGGATCTGAGAGAGAAGCCGGGTTCTGCTCTCTACCACCCCCACCCTCCCAGGGCATTCATGCCTCCAACTAGGCCCACTTGCCATGGAAGGAGGCAGTGCGGTGGCTGCCAGCTCACCATTCCCTGTCTGCACCTACCTGCAGGAGACTCTGCTCAGGGTCTTGGTGGGAGTCCAGTTGGTTACGTAGGATTGGGGCCCACCCACCGTCAAAGGTCTGTATGGCACTCTCTGTGGAGGGATGCAGGGTGGGCTTGGCTGAGAAAACCTAGCACAGGGCCCAGCTCCTCAAGGCCAAACTGAGACCCTTGGCATCCTGCATGGGTCCTGCCCAGGCAGATGTGGGAAGAGAGGACGTCTGCAAGGCTTTCAGGATGGACGATGCTAAACACAGCTGTGTTAAGAGTGCCTTACAAACTGCAGTCTTCTCTCCTTACGGAAGCATGACAATTATCACCCCCATTTTACAGATGAACATAAAAAGGCTTAGAGGAGTTAACTAACTCTCAGCTAGTAAGTGGCAGGGTTAGGCTTCAAACTTAGATTCCCTAACTCCTAGACTGGTCAGCGAACCACCCAGCTATTCAGACTCGAAAGGCAAGACTATTAATGGGGGGAGTTGGCTGTGTCTGGAACCTCCTCAGAAGTGGCAGAAGCAAGGAAGTGGATCTGCGTGGTGGCTTCCGCTACGGGCCTCAGTTTGCTCACCGCCAGCCAGGGACATCGGGATGCGGCAGTAAGGGCCGACTGGAGTCCTGCCCCTCCCGGGCCCCGCCCCTCCCGGGCCCCCGCCCCTCCCGGGCCCCGCCCCTCCCGGGCCCCGCCCCTCCAGGGCCCCGCCCCTCCCGGGCCCCTCACCCAAGCAGCGGTTCCTCGTAAAGAGCCCCCGGAAGACTTCGCACTCCTCATGCCGATTTCCGCTGGCTCTGCAGTCGCACCAGGGTTCCACGCGCGCGCTTGCGTTGTCCACGTAGTTGGGCGTGATGGCTGTGCCTGGCGAGACCCCGAAAGCAGGGTAATCGGCCCATCCAGGCGGAGGCATCCCCGGGAGATCCCCTCCGGGCGGTGCATACCCACGAGGCCGGCGTAGGCGCGCAGGCAGCTGGGGGCCTGGCCTTGGAGGCAGCCGTCAGGGCTGCTGGCCGTGGTCGCGCAGGAGGCCTGGAAGGCTAGGAGGCGGGGCCTGCGCCGCGCGGCCGGAAGGCGGTGAGTGGGCGACGAGTGGCTCCGACCCCCGCCCGCGCGTTCCGCCCCCTCCCTCTTCCACCTCTTCAGGCACCTGCAGATCCGGCTGTGCTCGCAGGCGTCTAAGGGCCCGAGGCAGGAAGGTGGCGCTGGGCCAGGCCCTGAGAAAGCGCAGGAGGGCACGAAGGTCTGGCGCCGACGCTCTGCGCACGCGGGGCCGCCGCAAGGGCAGAAGAGCAGTGCGTGGGTAAGCGCGGGCGGCCCGCGGGCGAAGAAGTGGCGCAGGGCGCGGCGGCAGCGGGCGCGGGGGCAGCCCCCCGGCGCGGCGCGACCCAAGCACTGCGCCACGTACGCGGTGCGCAGCCGATGGCACCGCTCGTCGGCGGTGCACGCGTCGGCCGCGTCCACGCATGGATTCGGTGCTACAGAGCTCCGCGATCCTGTTGGAGAGGCGGGTAGGCTGCGGTTGTTGGTGTGCCCCACACACACACTTCACCCCCGCCTCTGGGTCAGGGCCTCAGAAGATGCGGGATGCTCAAAACTCGAGGTGGGCAGAATGTGACCCAGAAGCGTTAGCGAGGGATGGGCAGCAACGGCCTCTGGGCATTCCTGCAGCACGTCTGCGGTGGATGCGGAGCGTCGAGGCTGGGCCTGGCTGGCCTCCCCCCCGAAAGCTGAGACCCACACTCCCCAGGCGCCACCCCTCACCCATCCAAAGAGGGGTCCTTGAGATTCTTTCCATTGTCCTGGGCCCCACCTGACACAGAAAACAGCAAGGCTTTTGGGGACCTGGCTAATGGAGACGTATCACAAATGGCTCCGAGGTCCAGAGGTTAAGAGGATCCCACATGCCCCAGAGCAGCTATGTCTCGACCGGAGCCGCAGTTGCTGAGCCCCTGAGCGCACTAGAGCCTATGCTCCGCAATAAGAGAATCCTGCCCACGGCAACTAGAGAAAGCTCCCGGCACAGCAAGGAAGACCCAGCGCAGCTAAAAATAAATCATAAAAATAGAATTAATGTAAAGACATGGCACTGAGCACGGTGGCTGCTCCTCTTCCTTTCTTTGACATGCCGGGACGTCTGACTTGTCAGATGCCCCTCCTTTCCCTTCTCCCTTGGAGACCCTTGGAGCGACCTATAGTTTTCTGGTTCCCTTCCTTCTTGACCGCATCCTCCTGCCTCTGCATCTTCCCCCTCCATCCTCTTCTACTGCTCCCTTCTTACCCATCTAACCGGTGCTGCCCCATCTGGATGGACTTTGGCTTCTCCCTGGCCTCTCTCCTCTCCACCAGCCAAGTAAAAGAGGGATTCCTGGCAAGGGCTCAGGTACTGGAGCCATTTAGTCCTGGCTATGGGGTGTGGATTCGAGAGAAGTCCCAGATGGCAGGCCATGGGGCTCAGTCCTTAGCCATAGGGCACTCCACTGTGGCCAGAGAGTGTGCCTGGTACAGCCCAGTCACATACCAGGGGTTTGTTGGGCAGAGGGTGAGCTTTGTCGGGAAGTGCCATGGGCACTAAATACCATGGGCATCTATATCCAGCCAGGGACTTCTCTGGTGGTCCAGTGGATAAGAATCCATCTGCCAGTGCAAGGTACAAGGATTCTATCCCTGGTCCGAAAAGATTGCACCTGCCACAACTACTGAGCCTGTGCACTGCAAGAGAAGAATAGCCCCTACTCGCCACAACTAGAGAAAGCCTGCACGTGGCAACAAAGACCCAGCACAACCAAAAACAAATAAATTTTTTAAAATAAAAATCAATCCAGCCAAGCTAGAGTCTCTGCAGGAATTTGGCAGCCCCTTCCCCCTAGAGCACCAAAACCAGGCTACCCCTGCCCCTTGGTTCTCTCTGCTTCCAGGAGCCTTCCTCAGATGAGAAGCCTTCGGGCCCCAAAGTCTGAGGGAAGTTTCCCAGCCTGGCTCAGCACCCATTCATTTCTGAGTGTGTGTGTGTATAGTGGGGTATTTCCTACCTCTGATCTGGGAGCAGGGCCCCATCTGGCATTGGTCTTTCCTTTCTCTCTCCTCTGCCCTGCTCCAAGCTCCTTCCCTTTCTTCCAGGACTTCAGAGCAGCAGACACACATTGCCCTTCTCTCCCAGCCAAGCCTTCACATTTCCAGGCCTCGGCCACACACATCAGCTCCTAGTGTCTCCTATGGTCTTGGTGCCATTTCTGTTCTTTGCTTACCTGTTTCCCTCCATCAGGAGCACCCCTCAAAATAGCACATCTCAGCTCCAAAGTCTCCTTCACCTTCTCCAGTCTCCCCACCCTACACCACCTGGTAAAGTGACCCCCTCCCTCCATGATGCCCCAAGTTGGGGAGGGATAGTCCAGGTGGTTGGAACAGCAGATGCATGGCATGGAAACATTGAGGATGCAAGGCAAGGAATCAGTGTGAAGTTGCAAGACTGAAGGTGGAGGGCTGGGCCTGGGAGAAGGGTAATAGAGGTGGGAGGGCAGGCAATAGGAAAAAGAAAGTTCCTGGGGCAAAGTTACCAAGGTGAGATTTGGGAGGCCATTGCTCCATGGGACCCAAAAGCTGGAGGCAGGGTGCTGTTTGTGTGTCCTCAGACCTCGAGCACAGGTGGAACACTGGTGCCTCTTCCTGCATTTTGGCTTTTCCTAGAATCACCTTCTTGTGCGCCCACGTTTTTCTTGAGGATTAAGGAGGATCAGGGACAGAGAAGCTAAGGTTCAGAGGTCTGGGGGGAGGCAGCCACTCACCTAGCAGCAGTAGCAACAGCAGTGCGGTTACCAAGCAGCTGGCCATGCTGGGCAGCAAACAGGAGCAGACGACTGGAGACAGAGCCCCTGTCAGACAGGTGCCTCCTTCCCAACACCCCTGGGCTGCAGTGATGGAAACCTAGGTGTCTATGCTGACTATTCCTCTGGTGGGAGGAGCCTTTGCATTGGGAATGATTCCCGCCCTCACTGAGTCCCCACCCAGGCAGCACCTTCAGATAGATCTGGGAGCCACTTGACCTTGTCTCTCCCATACTAAACTATTAAATTTATGAAACAACATAATTCTTCTTCTTTTATATTTCTAACTTTTTATTAGCTGATATTTAGACTTACAGAAAAGTTACAACACTGCAAAAATGCTAGTGCTCCCTTTATATCCTTCACCCAGTTTCCCCTAACATCACCATCTTACCTGACCATAGTACAATTATTAAAACAAGGAAATTAACATTGGTACAAGACACTTAACTGTAAATCCCTTTGCATTTCCCCAGTCTTCCCACTTATGTCCTTTGTCTGTTTCAAGATCCCATCCAGAATCCCATGATGCACTTAGTGGTCAGTGTTGCCTTAGTTTCTTCCAATCTGGCAGTTCCTGAGTCTTTCTTTACAAACTGGGTGCTTCCCTATCTGACTCAGCTCAGTGGGCGCCCCCCTTCTTGAGGGAACTGTAAGCAATAAAAACTTTCAATGGCACTAACCTCTGTGTGTCGTTGTTCTGTCATCTCTATGAATCAGAATCCCACAGAGAACCTAGGAGGGGGCTTTAGCAAACACTCTCATTCAGCGCCTTTAACTGGCAGAGTGAAAGCAAGGCCTGAGCCTTGAGGCTGCAACTCTGCTGCCAGCGAGTGATTGCAAACATTTTCCAATTCTTCACATCTGAAATGTGATTTTGCTGCTCCTCCCTGGAGTAAAGGTGGAGTTTACCTCCCCACCCCTGGAATCCTATGACTTGCTTGGACCAACAGAATGTTATGGAAGTAAAACGTGCCTGTCATGGACTCTCAAGAAGCCTGGCAAGCTTCTTCCTTCCTGCAGAAGGACGAAGTGAGTAAGGTACTTGTCTCAAGAACACAACTACAGATTTTTTGTTTGTTTGTTTCAGTTTCCTAAAAGCCTTGGTATGGTAACTGATCCTGTCTTAAAATTTTGTTATTTTGCTCATCATGGACTTTGTACTAATTTTGATCTGTACAGAATATTACATTAAAATATTATTTATCTTGATTACTTTTTTTGTGCTCAAGGTAAGTGCCTCCCTTGTTTCACTCTAATCAGGGTTCTGCTCTCTTAGAACCCTCCCCAGCTGTTTGTGAACAGGCCTGGGCTAACGTCTTAGAGAAATGAGAGACACAGAGCCCACTCTCCCCATCTCCCTACCCAAAAGCCAGCCAACCCCAAAAGCAGTGGCCAACAGTTGACTGCAAATGTATAAGTGAGGTGAGTTGAAACCAATCAAACCAGCAGCTGAGTTCAACCTAATCTGCCAACTCACAGAATTGGTTATTGTTTTAAGCTACTAAGTTTTGAGGTGGTTTTGTTTTATAGCAATATCTAGCTGATAAAGAAGCTCACTAAGCAACTCTTGCATGAAGCAAGGGGAGAGAGTAAATGGCTGCTACGAGTGTCCATGGGAGGCAGGAGAGGTGGAGCCAGGGGATCATTCAAACAAGGTAACACCATCCTTGTACTTCTGGGGCCTGGCTGTCATTCAGACACCACCCTTTGTCACCCTCAGGGAGTCCCATGGTATTGAATTTACAGACAGAGAAGACTCACAGAGGGTCAAGGGCAACATGGCTTTCTTCTGACTTCTTTGAAGTCCTCTCCAAAATGGCTTCCTTTGTTCCCTCCCATGCAGTGGAGGAGGGGTTGATTAACATCCAAAGTGAGGGGACTGCAGCAGTCCCGTGCTCCTCTAAAATCTCACCTGAGGACTAGGAATGGGGTGGGGCGGAGGATGCATCTGAAGGACAAGAGAGAACAGGACACAGAAAGGGAAGTCCCAACCATTTTGTTTGTTTTGCAGGGGTCAGGTTCCAGGGAAGTGGATTCAATCTGAAATATAGGGCCCCTGGAGTCCAGGCTTCTGGCCCAGCAGTCACTCCCTCCTAAGAGCTAGGTCTGAATAAAGTATGAGTAACAGACTCCTTTTATACAGTTCCGTTCAGGTGACTGAACTAAACTGCATTGTACTGAACTGGACAGTGACTGCAGCCATGAAATCGGAAAGATGATTGCTTCTTGGCAGGAAAGCTATGACAAACCTAGACAGTGTATTGAAAAGCAGAGACATTACTCTGCTGACAAAGGCCTGTATAGTCAGCGCTATGGTCTTCCCAGTGGTCACGTATGGTTGTGAGAGCTGGACCATAAAGAAGGCAGAGTGCCAAAGAATTGATGCCTTCAAACTGTGGTGTTGGAGAAAACACTTGGACTGCAAAGAGATCAAACCAGTCAATCTTAAGGGAGATCAATCCTGAATATTCACTGGAAGGACTGATGCTGAAGCTGAAGCTCCAGTATTTTGGTCATCTGATGGGAACAGATGACTCATTGGAAAAGTCCCTGATGCTGGGGAAGATCAAGGGCAGGAGAAGAGGGCATCAGAGGATAAGATGACTGGATGGCATCACCAATGCAATGGACATGAACTTAGGCAAACTCCAGGAGGTGGTGAGGGACAGGGAGGCCAAGGGTGCTGCAGTCCATGGGGTTGCAAAGAGTCGGAGGCGACGGGGACTGCACACCAACACCAGACTCCTGGGACAGAGGCCTCTCTGGGTGCCCAGCCTGACCCAGCGCCCCCTAGTGACAGGAGGTCAGTGACTACATGGCCTTCACTCCTGGATGGATGGATTCTTGCTTATGCTGGAAGGTGTACTCTAAGAGGATCCCACAGCCCTGAGGACTGGGGACAGCACTGTGCAAATTCTGATGAAGTTCCAGGGTCTTGGAGTAGGTGGTATGGCAGTAATTCAGGGAAGAAATTTTGAAGCTGCCTGAAGGTGCAAGAAGTCAGCTGAGTTGCTGGCTGTTCCCCTGAGGGTCGAGTTCCTTGGAGTGGCAGTCAGTAGTCACCTGTCCTTAAGTCTTCTCATGTCAGGAGTCACTTCACCAGAGACAGGATCTTGGCTTTTGGACTCTGCCTGCTGAGAATGAAGTGGAGGTTCCAGGGAAGGGCTGGGACCCTTTCTCCTCCCTCAGCGAAAACCATAGAACTTCTTCCTCCCATCCCAGGACCTCCACCAACTGGCCTCAGACAACAGCTTCTCCACAAGGTCTGTCTCATTTCCATAATGTACAAGTTCAAAAACCTCCGAGTCAGGGACTGTGAGATGAGGAGCTAGAGGAGGATAAATGAACTACGGGAGGGGGAGGGCCCCACCTACCTTAGGGGTACAAGCAGGGCTATGAGGAACCGGCTTCTCAAGGTGGCTGTTGGGTTCTAGCAGAGTTCTCAAAGTCTGGGAAGCAACAGGTGGGGGAAGAGTGCTGTGAACAAAGGTGGCAAGAGTCCCTGGTGCAGGGTGGGGCACAGGGCTCAAGGTGATTGGGTGCTAGGTGGAGAGGAGGGGCCCGGCTGGAAAGAGAGACGAGCCCATCCCTTCCCTTCCCTCCCCATCTCCTACTGTGCCTCACTCACCCAAGGGCTGGGGCTCTCGAGGGGCTGTCAGGCCCAACTCCACTGGGTGGATGCTGCCCAGAAGGTGGCCTCTGCGTGGGCCATCTCTGGATCTGGGAAGTGGGTTAGAGACCAGGAGACTGAGATAGCGACCATTAGCATGGCACCCTGGGGCTGCTTTGCTGCGGTAGAGGCTTATACCCAGGCCACTCTCTCCAGCTCACTTCCTGCTCTCTCCTGAGGGGAACCCTAGAGACTTATGCTTCCCAGGGCCTTGGACACTTTCTCTCTGCAACCCTGACATTTTTCCCAAACTCTGGCACACCCCAACATCTTCCAGCTGTTGATGTCACTCAGGTCCCAAAGAGGGATGGATTTCCTCTCCCAGTGGTACCCGTGTCTGTGCTCCTTGCTCTTGGGTGGCCCTGCTGCCCTCCATGACTCTGAGTTATGCTCAGCTGCTCACACCTCATCTTCCAGGGCCTTACCACTTCCTTTGATATCTCTTTGAAACAATAGTCTCAATACTTTACCAGGTGATGACATGTAGTCGCTGTCTCCTATAAGCCCCCAGTGATGACATACCAAGCTCTGACCACCTTGATCCTCTGCTCACAGACCCACAATCAACACTCTTATGTCAAGGCCCTTTCAGCTGTGCCCTGCTCCTGTTTGGGATGCCCTGTATTCCCATCTCCAGTCCAAACCATGCCCTCTCCCTCATTTTGCCCAGAATGTTCCCAAGGCCAGACTGTGTCAGATGTGGTCAAAGGGGGCCTGCCTTGCCCCACACCCAGTGAGGAGGCAGCCCTAGACTGACAATACTTGGTATCATGTGGCCCTCACCCCAGGTCATGGAGCTCTGTGTTAGGGGCAGGCCCTTGGCACAAGGCAGCCAGCACCATAGCTGCCCAGTGACAAGGAAAGTAAAGGTGTGTTGGCCCCAGCATTTGGGAACTTGAAGGCGGTAACAGCAGAGATTTAGGCAGAGGAAATGTCAGAGGGCTGAAAGTTCAAGAGAGAGAAACTGGAGAGGCCTTGAAGAGCACAGTGGAGCAGGAGTTGCACTCTGAGCTGGTGGAAGAACAGAGTAAAGCCAAGGATAAAGCAGCCTCTTGGTGGGAGAAACAGGAGACATGGAAAGGGGTACTGAAGCACAGTAATGGGGCCCGTGGGAGCCCTGCATGGACCTACACCTTTGGCTTCACTGGAAGACCACTGGGGCCTTCTGCTCAAGGCTTCTTTCCATTGCTTCTGCCTGCCTCTCTGCCCCTGAGGGCAACAGACCCCACCCCAGCTACGCCAGGTCCAGCAGAGCTCTGTGGAGCAGAACCTTAGAGCTCAGTGCCTACCCCCTGCACATGAGGTCCCTCCTTGAGCCCCAGAAGCATTGTTGG